TCTAGGAGTCCAAATTGACAAAACAGATAAGGGGTTCAAATTATCTCAGAAAGACAAGATTATGGAACTCATACAAAAATGTAATTTAATTAATTCAAAAATTTGTGATACTCCTATGTCAACTGATTTTTATAGGAATGTGTATAATGAGTACGAACCATTCAAGGATAACACGTTATATCGATCAATTATTGGGTCCTTATTATACATATCTAATTGGACCAGGCCTGATATCACCCTTGCTGTAAATTTGTTGTCAAGACATGTAAGCAATCCTAATTCATACCACTGGGAAGGAATTAAGAGGATTCTAAAATATCTAAAGTCTAGCATTGATATGTGCTTATTCTTAGAACCATTCATTTCTGAAAAACCAACTTTGACCTGCTACGCTGATGCTGATTGGGCTACTGATTCAAAAACCAGAAAAAGTACTTCTGGATATGTTTTTCTTATAAATGGCTGTGCGGTGCACTGGTACACAGGCAAACAGAATTTAATTGCCACTTCCACAGCGGAAGCCGAATATGTTTGTTTATCCAAAGCGGTCAACAATCTAACTTGGTTCGATGACTTGTTAACCAATGTGTGGGATGAACCTGTTTATCCAATTATTATCAATGAGGACAATAAGGCAGCAATTGATATATCAGCTTCCGAAGCAATAGGTCAACGATCTCGACATATCGATATAAAATATAAACATGTAAGACAACTGTCAAGTATAGGATTTATTAAAGCTATCCATTGCAATACTAGTGAACAAATTGCTGATATCCTCACTAAGCCATTGCCAACCAAACAACATATGTATTTGACTTCCAAACTTGATGTGCATATATAATCTTAATAACCCACCATTAGTTAGGTATTTTAGAGGGGGATTTGTTACAGATGAAAATACCTAACCTGATATCTGTAAATATGTGTGCTTGTTTATATGTCATTGTGTGATGTCATTGTGTCACTTACCATTGGTTAGTACTTACCATTAGCCCCGCCTTCTCTGTATATAAGTTCTTGCTCCTCCCAGATTAGTGCCTGTCTAATTGTGTTCCTGAGGAAGAAAAGAAATAAATATTACTATTACAAGAAAGCCTACAGTCTCTTATATATGGGCCTAACCAGGATAACCAAACTAGCAACACTTGCACACTACTTGAAGCAGTACTATTAAGAGTAACTGCACGAACGCTAATATCTTCCATGTGTGTCTTCTTTTTGTGTACAAATATCTCTGTCTGCAATATGATCTTTGAAGTAGATCAGACTGACCTGTCTTCTTGAGATGTTTTTCAAAAAGAAATAAAGAATGTAACATACTATCAAATCAACTCACAAAGCTTTGGGGCTTCCATCCATGGGATGGAATATCATGAGAACAATAAATAGGGTCAGCCCCTCCTTTTTCCATGGAGACCCATAGGATTTGGAAGAGACAAACAAACTAAATCCATTACAATAGAGACACCGTTACCTGTGTAAACATCTACAAAACATCTGAGGCCCTCTTGAGGCAAGAAGGAATGAGCCACAAGAAAAATATAATATCTTGAGATCTATAAACCAAAACAGAGATATAGTTATAGTTATGGCCATATGTATAGGCATTGTTTGTAGCTACTGTAGATTTATTCTATCCTGTCCTGTCCTGTTCCATTCTGGTCCACTCCACTCCACTCAACTCTCTTTTTTTGTTAAATTTATATTTACTGGGTAGTCCAGGTTGCCCTGATAAAAAACACTTCTCGACTCCATTCCATTCTTCCACTACACTAAACGACACTACTCTCCATTCTCTACCCTCCATTGCATTCCATTGCAATTATTTTCAGGTATTTCTCCAGAAATTGGGACGTGTATTGCAATACTTGATTGTCATATGGTTGAATTCTACTATTGGCATATATTCCAGTAGAATACTAATTTACAAAGATTGCATTGTGAAGCAGTCAAATGACAGTGTGTTAAGCATACAGCAGAATGAAGATTGGTTTACTGGCTGCATAACAGAGGGAAAGAAATCAACTTTGGTAAGGGCTCAAACCATTAGTTTTATACAGGAAGTGCTCAACCTGTGACTGCAAATGAGTGCAGATTCTTGGTCATAAGTCATGATGCTCATGGTAAAGGTATGATGCTCATGGTAACAACAACCCATAAATGATGCTTGCATGACTGTAAGATGCTGCAAGCACCTATAAATGTGGGTTAATTGCTGAGCATTCAAAATGATCATGTGACTGTGGGATGAGTGAGTTGACCATCAGAAGTTAAGTAGCTCTGAAGATGTCTATAATATCTTTGAACTGACACTAAGAAACTGAAACTTGAGAGTAGTTGCAGGTGGCAGTGGTCAATGAAGGAAGTAGGTAGTTTTTGCCACAATCTTTCTTTTTTCTTTTTTTTAGTTTTTAAAAAACAAACTTTATTAGATTTTAAAAAAATAAAATCATATAAAACATTCACAACCTTAAAATACAATCAACAGTATCAACAAACAACAAAGTATATATAATGTATATAAGTACACATATATACAAAAACTTATTTTCCTTTTTTTCCTTAATGACGGTGTATAATTATTACTTTTAATTTCTTACTAAATTTTGACTTTACCTTCTTTTCTATTGGTTTATCCACTCATACCAACTGTCCCATATCTTAAAATACTGTGAGTCTTCCTTATCTTTCAATTTCAGCGTTAGTCTATCCATTTCTGCACATGTGTAAATTTTTTGAATTATTTGCTGCTCCGTTGGCAATTGATCTGTTTTCCAGACTTGTGCTAGGGCTAACCTAGCTACCATAATTATATGTAATATTAGGTACTTTTTTTCCTTTCTAATGTTTTGTTTAAGCATTCCTAACAAAAAAAATTCTGGTTCTAACTCAATATCCTCGGCAATTATTTCTGATATCCAAATTTTTATTTTTATCCAATATTTCTTAATTTTTGGGCAAAGCCACCAGAGATGAAAGAAGATTCCCTGTGCTTGCTTACATTTCCAACACATTGGATTAAGATTTGCATACATCCTCGCCAATTTCGCAGGGGCTAGATACCATCTGTACCACATCTTGTAGTGGTTCTCCTTATATGCTACGGATTTTGTTATTCTATAATTGGTTTCCCATACCCTTTCCCATTCTTCCAATTGTATGTTTTTGCCACTATTCCTTGCCCAAGCTATCATTTACCCTTTGACTAGATTTTCTGCTAGGTTGAATTCTAATAAGAATTTGTAAATCTTTGAAATCAAATTTCCATCTTTAGCTCCTAATAAATTGTCTAGTCGGTTGGGATTTATTTCGATTCCTCCTTCCTCATTATCTTTATTGTATCTAGTTTGTATTTGTAGGTAGGGCCACCAATTTATTTCTATGCCTTGTTCCCTGACGTCCTGCCGTGTTTTTAATCTTCCTTGGGGATCCAATAATTCTTTATATCTTATTAATTTATGGGGGGCTAGTGTGTTGGGTGCATTGCCGCCTCCAATGCAGATATCCAGCCAGGAACCTTCATATAGTGTTTATTTTTAATTTCGAACCAAGTGCCAATCAGTGAATTTCTTATTATGTGGTTTTAAAATGTTTATAGATTTTGTTCCCGGTGTTCCACAAGAAGCCATGCCAGCCCTTTAATGGATCATGGCCTTCCAATTTTAATAGTCTGTAATTATCCAAATTGAACCACTCCTTAATCCATGTTAAACTCGCTGCCTTATAGTATTTTTCCCACGCTGGTAGGCCAAAACCCCCTCTAGATCTATCATCCTGTAATATGTTTAAATTTATTCTTGGGTTTTTTTCCCTCCCACAATCTTTCAATCCAGTACCCCTTTCAGATTTATGAAATGATTTGATACATTTATAAAAAATAAAAACAGATTTACAAAAACAGCAAAGAGAACCTACAGGAGGTTTAATGTACTTTGCAGAGAGTTGGTACATTTGGATGTCTGATGGAATTTGAATTTACTAGAATTATTTTTGTTCCAGAGATTTCATTGGTCTTTGCTACTAAAGAGAAAACCTCATTGCCAGCTGGAAAATCCTTTAAATTTACCCCATGCTTTAACAGACTAACAAAACAATAGAGTTTTGGGGGGGACCTTCAAGGTTTTCTACCTATCAAAAAGGAAAGCCAATAGCATTCCTTCAGTGTTTTTTAGTCCAACCTCCTGCTCAAGAAGAAAACCCAATAGAATTTTGTAGGTGACCACTACACAGGATGTGCACCAGAGAATTCCTTCTGTCCAATTACTTCAGAAACAATCCATAGATCTGTCAGGGTTCCGATGGATGCCCTAATTAAATCATGAATCTCGAGCCAAGCTTCAAAAGAAATCTAGTTATTTATTAGGAGCTTCATGTTGGCACATTCCTAAGTAAAGCCAGCTCTGACCCTATGTAATTTATGTTCCAATTATGACTCTGTTTCCCCCCTCCCCCACCCCACCCAGGATGTAATATCAATCACATTCATCAATGGAATGATTTTGCGGGTTGTAGAGGTCACTCCTCTTTGGCATCTGCAGGTAACCCTGGGATACAGCCTTGGGAGAGATAAGTGTGGAATGTGCAGCTGTCTTTGGCTGCTGTGCCATTTCGCAGGTTTCCCATTCCCCCTGGCCTATAGCAACTCGAGAGTAGGCCAGGGATGATTTGTGAATTGATACCTTCCCTATTTAAACAAAAGCTTTATTTGTATTTAATCCCATTTCTTTTTCTTTATGAATATATGAACATATGTTCATATGAATTAAGGCACAGAGAAATTATAATTCACATTTAACCTATATAAGTAGTCAGAGCTTACCATCACATATGTCAATAAATCAATTTGTACTATTATTTATTTTTTAAATATATGTATGTTAAAGTACCTATGTATAATTGACTTCGGAAGGAAAAACAGTTCTGCCCTATCCAAATATAAGGGACAGGGTAAATATTGCAACATAGCAAGTCAAATATAGCTGCACATTGTTCTCTATCTTAATTGTGAAAGACTCCAAAATCTACATATAAAGGATATGAAACAAATGGAAAGAGTTGTCAAAATTTCCTTTTCATGAGCTGATGTTTATTGTTCATTTCAGGTCTCATCACGATGATAAAACACTTGGGGAAAAAGATGCACACCAATAAGCCAGCACTGGAGGAAACCATGGAGAAGATCTCCACAGCCAATGTATATTTTCCCCTTGTGCTTAGATAGGTTGGAATAAAGCACAGCCAAACACTGCAGAAGACCAACATGCTGAAGGTGATGAATTTGGCTTCATTGAAGCTGTCAGGTAACTTCCTAGCTAGAAAAGCAGCAGAGAAGCTAACCAGAGCAAGAAAACCCATAAAGCCCAAAACACAGTAGTACATGACCGAGTCTTCATTGCACTCCATGATCACTTCTTCAGACATTGATTTCGTATCAAAATCTGGATATGGTGGAGATGTTATCAGCCATGCAGCACAAAAACCTATTTGGACAAGGGAGCAAGCTAGAAGAATGAAACTGATCATTCTTCCCCCAACCCATTTCCTCAATTTGGAACCAGGTTTGGTGGCCATGAATGCTAGAACCACAACAAAGGCGAGGACACAAGAAACTGCCACAGAAAAAATCAATCCAAAAGCTGGTTGTCGAAGGAGACACACAATCTTATCAGGTCTTCCAACAAATAGAAAGACACAAAGGAAAGAGAAGAGGAGAGAGACTAAGAGAGTGTAGGTGAGATTCCGGTTGTTGGCCTTGACAATGGCAGTGTCTTTATGTTTCATGAAGATTATTATTACCAAAATTGTTAACAAAGAAAAGCAAAGAGAAAGAACAGTCAGACTGATCCCTAAGGGTTCTTCGTAGGACAAAAAAGTGATCCGCTTTGGAATGCACATATTTTTATCAGGATTTGGATATTGATCTTCTGGACATGGAGAGCAGTCATCCTTGTCTGAAAAAGAACAGAGTGGAACTGATATAGTTGATTATAGATAGTGTTGTATCCTTGTTGCTTAGTCCCATTAAATTTGGAAATTTCCTACCCTTCTCCTTTGATATTTTCCCCTCTGGACACAGATGGCAATCATAGCAGCAAAATGACTCTCCTTCTTTCTTGGCCTTGCTGTATCCTGTCTCACAAGGATCATTACACAAAGATAGAGGTAATGCCTATCAATGAATGAAGAAGAATATTTTAAGATACAGAGGGGAAAGGAAGTGCTTGGAGAGATACTGTTAGTATGGAATCAACAGAACAAAAATGGATTAATAAGCAGAAGTAGTGTATTGACATCATTTCGATATGGAATTGGTTTGAAATTGGCTTTGCGAGTTGACAAATAATTCATTAAATATCTATCTTTATTGGTGTCTATGGGCTTTCATAACTATCATCCCTATTATCCAAAGCCAATTTCTGTGCTGATTAATTTTGAAATCTCCAGACTGATGAAATCTGGTATACTGGCAGAATATTTTGAGATATAGAGGGGACAAGGAGTACTTAATAATCAGAAGTAATGTGATGACATCATTTTGAGATGTACCGGTAGTTGGTCTCAAATAATAATTCATTAAATATCCATCTTTATTGGCATCTATGGCCTTTCATAATTATCCAAAGACAATTTCTGTGATGTTAGTTAACGATGGTTTTCTCAGCCTCTGAATTTTGAAATCTCCAGACTGATGAAATCTAGTACACTGGCTTGCAGCTTTTACTTCAAAAACCATGAAAAACATTGTCCATAATTAACAGAGAGCCAACGTAAATAGTCTACACAAACTGCAGATTTCTTTTCTTTTCTTCCTGAGGACATTTGTACTTAGTCTATTCAGAGATGATGTTCTGGGAACTTTCATCATTTTGACATGGACTCAGTCTTAAATAATAATTCATTAAATATCTATCTTTATTGGCATCTATGGCCTTTAATAACTATCAACCTCACTCTCCAAAGACAATTTCTGCTCTGGTTAGTTAAAGAAGTCAGCAGACTGGTGTAATATAGTACACTGGACTTCAGCTCCTATTTCTAAACCATGAAAACATGGTCCATAACTAACAGGGCCAAAATAAAGGGTACAATATTTTCTGCCAACTATTAGAAAAGTAAACATTCTTACAGATAATGTTTTCCTTCTCCAGGACATTTCTAGTTAGTACAAACATTATTCAGAGATGATAATTTTCATTAGTAATCATATTTTTATAGTATATAAATGAAGACAGACAAATCTAGATTGAGACAACTAACCTGATTAAAGCCTACTGGCCACGTGATGGAATCTACAGAAATATTGAAGAACTTGTCCGCTGGAGCTGTGGGATCTACCATTCCAACTTTGACCCTAAGAAAAGACTGGTTTGGGAATGTGATCCAGTTGATAATATCATATCCACCAATGAATTCTCCATTTTTATCAAAGGAGATCTTTTCCCCAACACTGTTGTTGAATCTGATGCTTTTCAGAAAAGAATGAACCTGAAATACAGCAACACAGAAAAAGGGACAAAGAGAGAACAGGATAAAGGGAGGGAAAATAATTCATATGTTCAAAAAGTGGATGTCTCTTTAAAGAAAAAAAATATAAAAACATGTTTTTGGTTGTAGGCCAATACCAATCAAATAACATAACATTTATTCCAAAATAGCAGTAGAGGTAAAATATCAATTACTGAAATAAAATTAGCACAGAATCTCAATATAAAAAGGCAAAAAAAAACCAAAAAAAAAAACCCCCAACACTTAGTAGATTATTAAATTGTTAAATTGTTAAATTGTAATTGTTAAAACTACTTAAACTAGATGAATTTTGATAAATATATAAGAAATACAATGATCCGTAAGGCTACAAAAGTTTAATCCTATTTTTACTTCTAAAGAGCTATGTACTTGCTCTAGCCATGCTAAAGTTTGATTTGAATTATTGCAGTTACAATCCAACAGACTAGAAGCAAGATAAATAATAAGATAAAAGAAAATGTAGCTGAAAAGGTATATGTGTATTTATGCATGTATGTATGTATACACACTACACATACATACAGCAAGACTTACTTTTTCAGTAAGGGTATTTTTTAATCTTGTTCTTGTCTTCCATTTTTAAATATGTAATCTTATATTGAAAAGAGAGAGATAAATGAGCATAAGGAAATTGAGTTATGTTGATCTAGATGGGTTCAGGATCATTTCACTTAAAGGAGTCATATGAATTCAATGAATTCATGGCTCTCATAAGAAACACAGCTACAATGTCTGATATCCCCATTCCTGGCCAGCTAACAAGAGACTAAGGAAATCAACCTCCCTCCATCTCTAGAGCTAATAGGACAGGATGGAGAGCCACTATCAAGGCAACAGTCAAATAAGAACTTGAGCCTGGACCAAGAAATATAACTTGAGAAAATATTTCAGTTACACCCACATCAAACAAAGAATATGAGGGACATATATAAACACTCTCAGACTTGTAGGAATCTAGTACTATAAAATTAGTCCTGACCTAAATGTTATTGGTTTCTTAGTCAACATTTTTGGGTCTCAGTAAATGAGGCAGCAGAACAACACATAAATGCAAGTTTGTGTAATGATTGCTTGTTCAACAATCATTTGAAATTGAAATATTGCAGAATGAATGGCACGAATTACTTTCTTGAGATTCTCACTGTCATATTACCCCTGTCATATGATCACAATCCTAGATCTTGGCCACTGGCCTGCATTTGTGAGTATTGCATCCTCCTAGATTTAAATGGTTGTGATTTGCAATCTTCCTTGCTGGCTTTCCATAAGCAAAGTCAATGGGAAAGCTAGAAGGAAGTTGGAAGCTGTTCTGTTTGGAATTTTATCGCCAAAATTTCAACATTGATCTTACCAGAGCATTATACATTTTCCCACATTGCTTTTGTCAGACCTAATGTAAGTTTATTGCAAAATGTAGCCAGGCTTGGATGTTTTTTCTTTCTAAGAAAAACCTTCCATCTTGCCACCCTAACCCACAGCCCAGACATGAAGAATATAGGAGATTGTTATCACATATAGGACACAATCAGTACTTGCCAGAAATTCCTGCAGTTCCTATAATGCTGTTATAAGCTCTTGGCAGCCTATTTTCTAATGGTTTTCATCAATCTTGGAGGGACATCTAATTCTTGGTAATGCAACTGTTGTACCATATTTTCTCCGCTTTTGATGACTGCCTTCACTGTGTTCTATGATATATCCAGTATGTCAGAAATTATTTTGTAATCCATTCTTCTGACTGATACCTTCCTACAATGAGATCTCTTTGATGTTTTTTTTACGCTCTTTATAGACCATAGGTTTTCCTGTAAGAGGCAACTGAGTAAGTGTCAGAAAACTCCTAGTAGAACAGCTGCACTTTACAGAAGCTATATTAGAGACACTTGAATTGATGCAGGTGTGTACTGACTACTAGTTTCCATCAGTTTGAATGTGATTAATTATGAATTAATTATCCACACTTACAGGAAGATGTGTACACTTATGCAACCAATGTATTTTATATGTTTATTGAATATGTTTATTGTTATTTTTCCCCATAAAGGTTTCAGTTATTTTCCAATTGAATTGTACAGCTTTCAGACTTAATGTCAATACCTCTAAAAAGTATTATTTGCTAAAGTTTACTGACAAGTGTTGAAAGTACTGATATGGTGGTTTCTGCACTATTCTAATTACAAACCTACCTTCCACCACACTTGATTGCGAAGCTGTTTCCTTCCTTTTTTCACTATTGTTGTTTCCCTGGATTTGGACATATATAGAGATTGTAAAGCATGTGCCACAACATGGACTGCATTGTAAATATTGTAACTCTGTCCACTCATGTGTGTTTCAAACACAGATGTGGGAAGGGTCTCAAGCCTCTCCTGCCCAGTACATTTCTTCTCATAGTTCTCCATTTTTGAGTTTGCAAAGAAACAATCAAATGCCTGTTCCCAAAAATCTTTCCGAAAATGATCGTGTTGGTTGTTGTTTGGACTTAAGTTCTGAAGAAATTCCTGGAATTCTGGTACTTTCTTTGTGTGAACTGCAAAGGATAAAGCACCATGTAGGAAACTGATATTGCATGATTTATGAACAGACATTGAAGTGTAATCTGTCTGAGCAGTTATAAGCCAAATCTTATTCTTCCTTGGTATATCCTCCACTTCTGAAAACTGGAGGAAAGTTCTCAGAACTGATAAGGACTGAATTTCACCATATAAGATTATCACATTGGCCATGCTGTTCATGAGAACATGGTATATATGTAATCCTTCCTCCATAGTATCAGTAAAGTCACTGTAAAAAGCTACATTTGGTAACTCTGCTATGAATTCTGTGCAGATGCCATGCTCAGAAAATGTGGGAATCATCTCCTGGACAAATTTCTCTCCTTTCTCATCTTTTACAACAAGAATTCCAATCCAGATCCATCTAAAACACAGCAGTAGCTGCAAGAGGCCTTTATGTTGATGGGATTCATCTGGAAACATTTGTTGGAAGAAAATTGATTGAGTCTCTTTATCCATGACTGGAGCAGAGCCATATATAAACTACAGAAAAATAAACATATGCAATTGCAAAAAATTGCAAAGTTGTATGGGAGCCTCTGAGAACACATTCAATTTTAGGGTGCTCTTGAATTTGTGCATTGAAACATTGTCTAAATAATTTTGTTCATTTCATGACTACCTTGGCTTCAATCTTAGTATTCAAGAAATGTTTTTCTTCCTCAAAAACTCTTATTGTTGTATTGTTGTTGTTTTTGAGGAAACATAAAAATGACCATTCTGGAAAAGGAAAGAATAAGTTTCAACTTTACTTCAGTGTAGGAATATTTACCTGGAAAGGAGAGTATTTGTGGCTTGGGACTGAAATGAGAGGTCTGTAGCTTGGTTGTTGTTCTTGCTGATATTCTTGTTGTTTTGCAGATGTTTCATTTTTTTCTGCATGAATACAACCAAGCTCATAGAGCACCAAGGACTTCTCATATTTACCTCTTCCCAAAATTCCCATTGTCTGATCAGGTTTATCATTATTTGTATTCCTCTGCTAATCCAATCAAGTATAAATGATTGCTAAACATTATGAGGCTCTCTTCTTTCTACCCCGTTTAATGGATAAATGATTTCCCAGAGAGGGAAACATCTCTATGGAAACACAGGACACCCAAAATGCCACAGGTGTTGTTGTTTTTTTTCCTCAAGAAAGCTAAAACCTGGGATATACATTAATACTAAGTCTTCCTTACAGTCCAAATAAATACTTTGGACCTTTAGGAAGTCTGATCATTTCAAATCTCTGTTTGCTTTTCAAGAAACATTTCTGTCTCCATCCTCTCCACATCACAATGCATATTTATTCTTTTTCTCTTTCTATTAACTTTTACCTTTATTTGGAGTTTGAAATTCAGTTGATTACTTCAACCAAGTTAGATCATTAGAACATCTTGTACTTTTGCTATTAACCCAAGATAAAGTTGACATCTTGGATGCCATGTCTTCATCTGTGGTCATAAATGCTCACTGAATAACAAGGAATAGATGATTCTATGCCAGCTGGATTCAAGTAATCAATATTGACAATCAGCCATTTTAAAGTTTCCTTTCTCAGTACGTATCAAAGAGTTATATACAACCTGAGCTCTTTATCATAAAAGCAAAACAATCCATGTTTGTTCAGAAAGTGCTGTAGAACTTCAACACATCTTACCTGAGGAACTTTGTAGATGCACAGAATGGTCGCCATGTAGAGACAGATGTCTGATCCCCCCATGACTGCAGCTAAAGTGATTGGCACTCCACAGATGTAGTTAGGGACGAATCTGTCCTGGTTGAAGAGAAGCACCATTGAGGCAAGATATGTCCAACTTGGACTGGAATTGCTATTATAAAGGTGGAAACCCAATGTGACATTGGGTAGGATCTGGGCATTTTCATTGATCTCTTTAAGAGCAAACGTTAGAGCAAGTATATGCTGATAATTCTGAAAGGATACTCTGCAACAAGCATTACATAATATATTAAGAAAGGTATTATTTAGAATATGCAATGTTTCAGTAGAATATTCAGTGGGACATACTTTTGTATTATATTTAGTGCAATATATTTATCCTTCTACTAGGATCCTGGAAAATGCTTAGCACAAATATAGCACATATGCTATATTTGCACAAGAACTTGTGGTTTTTTTAAAAAAAAAACTTATAATACCAGCAAACACTTGCTTGAGGTTGGTAGAATTATTTTGTAATATATGAGAAATGCCTAATAGCAAACCATATATTCCTAGAAATTCATTTTATTCAGAAGAATGTAACTCTATTTTGTTACAAATAAAATCAACTGAGAAAGGGTAATCACTGCTCTTAAATACCATACATATTTTTGTGGTAGTTACACCTTCATAATTTTATCTGTTTCCAGAGTCTATACTTAGAAATAAGTATGATTAAATGAGCTTTGGTCTTTTTATTGACTGATTAATCAAACAATCTCAGGGTGATTCTGGGCAGCTTTCAAATAAAAAGTTTTTATCCACTTCATGTGGAAAGTGAAATGGAGGTTGACCATAGATTGATACATCTTTTATTAAGAGGGATGTTTCAGACACTTTTTCAATGACAAACTTTCAGGGAAATATTTCGAGTACCATTGTGGCTGAACAGCAAGTTATAGAGGTTGATTATAAATGAAAGATGTACTTACATAACTCCATCTTGAAGTGCCTGAGAAGGATGTTGACTAAAATCAATAGCATCAGAAAATGTTGCGAATACAGAAATAATGCCAGCAATGTTTACATCTCCAAGCTGGTGATATGTGTGACGAATAGGAAGAGGCTCATCCAAGTTACACTTGCACATCACTTGAGGCATTATTGTTAACAGTAACTTCATGAATACTAGAATAGAATAGAATAGAATAGAATAGAATAGAATAGAATAGAATAGAATAGAATAGAATAGAATAGAATAGAATAGAATAGAATAGAATAGAATAGAATAGAATAACAGAGTTGGAAGAGACCTTGGAGATCTTCTAGTCCAACCCCCTGCCCAGGTAGGAAACCCTATACCACTTCACACAAATGGTTATCTTCTTAAAATTTCCAGAAGTTGTTCCAACTTCTGGAGGCAAATTGTTCCACTGATTAATTGTTCTAACTGTCAGGAAATTTCTCCTTAGTTCTAAGTTTCTCTTCTCTTGATTAGTTTCCACCCATTGCTTCTTGATCTACCCTCAGGTGCTTTGGAAAATAGTTTGACTCCCTCTTCTTTGTGGCAACCCCTGAGATATTGGAACACTGCTATCCTATTCTATCAGTTCTATTCTAGAACTGTGTTGGCTTTTTTGACAGCTGCTGCACAGTGCTGGCTCATATCTAAATGATTGTCCACCAGGACCCTAAGATCCCTCTCACAATTACTACTATTGAGCAAGGTACCACATATACAGTACCTGTGCATTTTGTTTTTCTTGCCTAAATGTAGAACCTTACTTTTTTCACTGTTGAATTTCATTTTGTTAGATAGCACCCAATGTTCAAGTCTGTCAAGATCCTTCTAACTAACTAGCATCTTCCATACGCCTCTTCTTTCTTTGTATAAATGCCCCTGTTGGGCATCCTTGAAATAGATCAGACTGACCTGCCTTCGTGCGATGTTTTTCAGACAAAAATAGAGAATGTAACATGCTACCAACTTAAATCACAGAGCTTTGTGGCATCCAGCCATGGTTTGGAATATCATGGGGATCATTAATAGCATTCTTCAGGCTCAGTTCTTCCATTTTGCCTGAAATCCCATGAGTTTGGAACAGGCATGCAGGTAATGTTTAATTATAGTTGAGATAATAACCTATTCAGAATTCTGAACTCTTGAATTGTGAAAATGTATGTCACAAATCAAAAGAAAATATGCCTGGTTCCCTTGAGACAATAAGCAGTGATCTATCTCAAGAACATTGGATTAAAATTGGAAAAATCTTCCCAAATAGGTACAGACACAAGATAAAAGAAAACATGAGTTTTTTTATGTAGTTAATTATACATAAAGTATAATTAAAATTCTTTACAGTCAAACTTTGCTTCTTATGGACAAATCTGTATCATTTTCTTTGCAACAATTTTAAGTGGGCTTTCATTGGTATTGTTGGATTGCTCAATCTAGGCTACACTTCTGGAATTTCAGGTTGTCTTTTATCTAAATACTGACCAAATCCAAATGTGCTGAGCTTTGCAAGATGTAACCTTGGTTATTTTGGCAATTTTAAATGTCATTTTAAAATGTAAAACAAATGTAAAGGCAAATTTACCTCCTAGTTGGCATGAATTAAAATGTTATTTCTTCTCCATGCCTGAAATTAGAGTAGGAGAAATTGTGACACAAATGTGCTTTTTTTTTTTTTTTGTAAATTTTTTTTTTATTTTTTTCAAACATAAACATAAAATATAACTTTCAAGAACAGAGTTTCAATCCGGTCATAGATGGTTTACACGCTTACATTCCTTTAACAAGCTCCATTCCTGATTTCCCATTAGATCTTTTAAAAGTAAAAATTCAAAAGAACAAATTTTTGTTTCTTGCCTGGGTTGGTGACACTCACCCGGCTTTGAAAAACTCTTCCTTTCCTCTTCTCTCCTGCACATTCTTTTCACGGTCCACCATGGCTTTGCAACCGCCACCATGGCTGCCTACCCCCACCGCCGACTTTGAGGATTCCCTCTGGCTTCCGAGGAACTTGCCTGTTCCTCTAAGCCTTCCAAGGTGCTCCTCCTCTCCCCCATCCCTACGAGACAGGGTCGGTCCAAAGACTGATTGATCGGTGGTTTGTCAGTCAGGGTTTCCGCGGGCTCATTAGAGCCCGCCATAGCCCCAACTGTAGCGCCGTGGTGCCAGACCGGTGTTACACAAGTGTGCTTTGAGGTTCAGCTTATGGTCATTCACTCACACACTCACAGGCCTGGAAAATTGCCAAACTCAAATCACTTTCAACTGAACACTAACTGTTCTTTAAAATACATGGAGACCCAGTGAATATGAAATAACAGCAAACTTTTACTGATTACAAAGTGTATCTATTTGCCTTTACATACACGCACACTTTCTCAGCTAGGCTTCCAGGCACTAGCCAGAAGGATTGAAGCCACAAAGTCTGGAATCCAAAAATAGGCAGGCTTCAGGGATTCTTTTATCCCCAAATGTCCTTGCGTTTTTGGTGGGGAGGGGCTTCCCATGTGCTCAGGCCCAACGTTTGTCCTTTTGTTTCATTAACGACTTGGTTCCTTTCCATGAAAAGCAGGTAAGGGGGTGGTGGTGGTGAAGAAATCTTCCTTCCCTCACAGTCACCCCCCAATGCGAGCAACATTAGTTGGCCGTGCCCACCGTCCCAACCACCAGTGAGGACACTCTTATCTAGAGATTATTTTGGGGGTAGGGCTTATATTGCAAGCAGCATTCAGCAGTTGATTCAGGAAAGTCCTTTTGTAATTTTGTTGGGTTTTTAAGGCCTTTGCTTAAGAATGGACTTGTTATTTATATAGAATAGAATAGAATAGAATAGAATAGAATAGAATAGAATAGAATAGAATAGAATAGAATAGAATAGAATAGAATAGAATAGAATAATAAAGTCGGAAGGGACCTTGAAGGTCTTCTAATCCAACCCCCTGCCTAGGCAGAAAACCCTACATCACTCCAGACAAATGGTTCATTTGTTCATTTTTAAAACTTTTTTTTCATTAGCTGATGTTTATTGTTCAGCTCAGGTCTCATCACAATGATAAAACACTTTGGGGAAAAGATGCACACCAGTAATCCAGCACTGGAAGAGATCATGGAGAAGATCTCCACAGCCAATGTATATTTTCCCCTTGTGCTTAGATAGGTTGGAATAAAACACAGCCAAACACTGCAGAAGACCAACATGCTGAAGGTGATAAATTTGGCTTCATTGAAACTGTCAGGTAACCTCCTAGCTAGAAAAGCAGCAGAAAAGCTGATCACAGCCAGAAAACCCAGAAAACCCAAAACACTGTAGAACATAGTGACTGAGCCTTCATTGCACTCCATGATGACCTCTTGAGACATTGAGTGCATATCAAAATCTGGATATGGTGGAAAAATTCCCAGCCATATGATGCATATAGTGGTTTGAATAAGGCAACAAAAGAGAACAATGAAACTGTCCATTCCTTTCCCCACCCATTTCCTCATTCTAGATCCAGGCTTGGTGGCCATGAAAGCTAGGACCACAACAAAGGTTTTGGCCAAGACACAAGAAACTGCCATGGAGAAGATGATTCCAAAAGCTGGTTGTCGAAGGAGACACACAACCTTATCAGGTTTCCCGATAAATAATAAAACACAAAGAAAAGAGAGGAGGAGAGAAACTAGAAGAGTGTAGGTGAGATTACGGTTGTTGGCTTTGACAATAGGGGTGTATTTGTTTTTAATGAAGATCCCAAGCACCAGAGCTGTGATAAAAGAAAAAGAAAGAGCACAAATAGCTAAACTGATCCCCAAGGGTTCTTCATAGGATAAGAAAGTGATGTGTTTTGGAATGCATGCATTTTTATCATGGTTTGAATAATGACCTTCTGGACAATGAGAACAGTCTTCCATATCTGAAAAAAATAAAACAACAATTCTGTGCATTGATTTTCATTCATCAAGTCTTTGAGTTGCATAACTCTGAGAGAGAAGCTAATTATCAACAGTGACATTAACTACTTATGTCAGAGTTTAGGCAGCATGACTAGTATTATGAGATAAACCCAGGAGCAAAACACAGCACACAGCACACAGAGTCTTTAGATAATTATCAGTGGTTTTGTCTACAGCTAAATATGTACAGATTTACAGTCAGGTCCAGAAATATTGGGACATTGACACAATTCTAACATCTTTGGCTCTATACACCACCACAATGGAGTTGGAATGAAACAAACACAATGTGATTTAACTGCAGACTGTCAGCTTTAATTTAAGGGTATGTACATCCAATTCAGGTGAACGGTGTAGGACTTACAACAGTTTGCATATGTGCCTCCCACTTGTTAAGGGACCGAAAGTAATGGGACAGAATAATAATCATAAATCAAACTTCCCCTTCTTAATACTTGGTTGCAAATCCTTTGCAGTCAATCACAGCCTGAAGTCTAGAATGCATAGACATCACCAGACGCTGGGTTTCATCCATGGTGATGCTCTGCCAGGCCTCTACTGCAACTGTCTTCAGTTCCTGCTTGTTCTTGGGGCATTTTCCCTTCAGTTTTGTCTTCAGCAAGTGAAATGCATGCTCAATGGGATTCAGGTCAGGTTATTGATTTGGCCATTGCATAACATTCCACTTCTGTCCCTTCAAAAACTCTTTGGTTGCTTTTGCAGTATGCTTTGGGTCATTGTCCATCTGCACTGTGAAGCACTGTCCAATGAGTTCTGCAGCATTTGGCTGAATGTGAGCAGATAATATTGCCCGAAACACTTCAGAATTCATCCTGCTGCTTTTGTCAGCAGTCACATCATCAATAAATACAAGAGAACCAATTTCATTGGCAGCCATACATGCCCACACCATGACACTACCACCACCATGCTTCACTGATGAGGTGGTATGCTTAGGATCATGAGCAGTTCCTTTCCTTCTCCATCCTCTTCTCTTCCCATCACTCTGGTACAAGTTGATCTTGGTCTCATCTGTCCATAGGATCTTGTTCCAGAACTGTGAAGGCTTTGTTAGATGTTGTTTGGCAAACTCTAATCTGCCCTTCCTGTTTTTGAGGCTCACCAATGGTTTACATCTTGTGGTGAACCCTCTGTATTCACTCTGGTGAAGTCTTCTCTTGATTGTTGACTTCGACACACATACACCTACCTCCTGGAGAGTGTTCTTGATCTGGCCAACTGTTGTGAAGGGTGTTTTCTTCACCAGGGAAAGAATTCTTCGGTCATCCACCACACTTGTTTTCCGTGGTCTCCTAGGTCTTTTGGTGTTGCTGAGCTCACCGGTGCATTCTTTCTTTTTGAGAATGTTTCAAACAGTTGTTTTGGCCACGCCTAATGTTCTTACTATCTCTCTGATGGGTTTGTTTTGTTTCTTCAGCCTAATGATGGCTTGCTTCACTGATAGTGACAGCTCTTTGGATCTCATCTTGAGAGTTGACAGCAACAGATTCCAAATGCAAATAGCACACTTGAAATGAACTCTGGGCCTTTTATCTGCACATTGTAATTGGGGTAATGAGGGAATATCACACACCTGGCCATGGAACAGCTGAGAAGCCAATTGTCCCATTATTTTTGGTCCCTTAACAAGTGGGAGGCACATATTCAAACTGCTGTAAGTCCTACACCGTTCACCTGAGTTGGATGTACATACCCTCAAATTAAAGCTGACAGTCTGCATTAACGCACATTGTGTTTGTTTCATTCCAACTCCATTGTGGTGGTGTATAGAGCCAAAGATGTTAGAATTGTGTTGATGTCCCAATATTTCTGGACCTGACTGTATATGTGTTAAATACCTTATCATACAGATACTGACACAAGGAGAGCAATAAGATACACAATGAGAGAGAACATGAGGAGAAGGGGAACACCCTCTAATGGCTTCCCTTATATAGGCAGCTTCTTATCCAGCTTCTTAAAGTGGCAATAACGCTGCTGCCTCATTCCCATTGCATCAGCTTTCAGTTGCTTCCGCTTACAACCTTTCATCAGCTTACAGCTATTAAAACTACATACCCTGACAACTTAACCATTTTAATATGAAATCATATTCACTGAGGATTACTGAGAATTAGAGAAAATGTTCAACCAAAATGTTGGAGATGTGATTGTTTGGATGCTACATATTATCATATATTGTGGACTTGCAAGAAAGTGAAGGCTTTCTGGATAAAAATTTGGTGGGTTATGCAAAATGTTCTGAAGAAAAAACTCCAATTTTCTCCTCAATTGCTTTTATTGGGTATAGTTAAGGACTTTTCAAAGGGTGAAATAAAATTGATATTGTATATGGTGACAGCAGCTAGGTTACTGATTGGGCAATATTGGAAAAGGGATGTTATGCCTACTATTGAAGAATGGACTTTGAAGGTTTTGCAGAAATGGCGAAGATATCAGCATACTTAAAAGACCGGACTCAAGAGACTTATGCACGGGAGTGGAAGAAATGGATAGATTATGTGCAGAATAAATATCAAACTAGGAAGTACCAGATAGCTTTTAGTTGAATGTTGTGTAGAAATGTATAGTATATAGGGGGCAGAATAGACAGGCGGTAAAGTATGATATAATATGATTTGGATTTGGATTTCACCTTGGGGAAGTCATGGGAGGAGAGGAGGGTTAGGGAGGGTTAGGGAGGGAAAGGGGGGGAATGGGAAAATTTGTACTTGTAAAACTTTTTTAATAAAAAAGAGAATTAGAGAAAATATGAGAGCCAGAAACGTTGGCCCATACCCAAAGCCTTTACCTTCCATGCATTTCATTCTACCTCGGATATCACATACTATGTATTATCTATATATTGTTCTTGGTTACAAATATGTATGTAATGTATTTACACAATCCTTTTCACTGTGAATAGCTTTAAATGCAAGGGAATTTCCATACATAGGGGACTTTATGTTTTAATCTTTGTACACTATCCAGAGTCACTTGTATGACATTGGTAGTCATATAAATAATCAAAATAAATAAATAATCAAAATAAAAAGCCCTATTAATAAGGTAGCTTATTCCATTACTTCTAAAAAATTGTTTACCTTCTTTGTTTGAAATTTTCCCTTCTGGACATGGATGGCAATCATAGCAACAAAATGGTCTTGATTCCTTCTTAGTCTTGCTATGCCCTGTTTGGCAAGGATCGTTACACAAAGAAAGGGGATGTGCCTATCCAAAAATTGAGAACATTGTTAAGATTTTTAAAAAGCTTTTGACTAATTTCTATCTTGCTGGAGAATTTAAAGCTTAGGCATGGAGTCATAACTTCCATTGAACTATTATAACAACTTTATTAGAAAAGAATACTTGATCTGCAATGATGCAATGGAATATCCACCCTTCTTCAAATGTGTACCCTAATGTTTCTTTAACTGGTTCCAGAAGCCAAAGTGTTCTTCATCCTTCAATCTCTATATCAGATCAATGCAGATGATTTTTGCAGCTAAGGTCTTCTACTAGGAAGAACAATCTTAGCATCTATCTAACAAAATGAAATTCAATGTAGAGAAAAGTAAAGTCCTACATGTAGGTAAGAAAAACCAAAAGTACACATATAAACTGGGTGAAACCAGACTGTGAGAGGGATCTTGGAGTCTTAGTAGACAACCAACTAAATATGAGCCAGCAGTGTGCAGCAGCAGCCAAAAAAGCCAATACAATCCTAAATTGCATTAACAATCAAGATCAAGTGAGGTACTAATACTACTCTATAAAGCCCTAGTAAGACCACACCTAGAGTACTGCACCCAGTTTTGGTCACCACACTATGAAAAAGATGTTGAGACTCTAGAAAAAGTGCAGAGGAGAGCACCCAGGATGCTTAGGGGACTGGAGACTAAAACATATGAAGAACGGTTACAGGAACTGGGCCTGGCTAGTCTAGTGAAGAGAAGGACCAGGGGAGATATCATAGTAGTGTTCCAATATTTGAGGGTTGCCACAGAGAGGAGGTGGTCAAGCTATTTTCCAAAGCACCTGAAGACCAGACAAGGAATAATGGATGGAAACTGAACAAGGAGAGATTCAACCTAGAAATAAGGAGGAACTTTCTGACAGTGAGAACAATCAACCAATGGAACAGAAGTTGCCTTTGGAAGTTGCGGGAGCTTCATCGCTTGAGACTTTCAAGAAGATTGGACTGCCATTTGTCAGAAATGGTGTAGGGTCTCCTGCTGAGTGGGGGGAGGGGGCTGGACTAGATGACCTACAAGGTCCCTTCCAACTCTGTTAATCTGTTAAAAAATCTGCTTCTCTGTCAAATTGCTATCTGGTGCCCCATGCCTCCTGTACATGTGCCAATGTGCCATGTCTGTACAAAAAGGCAGTGCTTTCATCATGATTTCATGACCATTGTTTTGCACATTTTGACCCCTCTACTATGTACATAAACCACAGCTACAATGTTGTGCGTATATTAGCATTCATTTTTCCGTCGTTACATGTGCAAACCTTTTCATTTGTAATTTATTTGGCGGTGGGAAAAAGCTTAATTTGCAATTTTATTGTAGTCCTGTGAGAAGCAGTGTAGATTTGCTAGAGCAAAGCCTTTTGTGGAATGGAGGTGACAGATATTAAAAGTCCGAAGTAAAAAGTTCAGCTGATGAATGAAGCCACTTGGAGGGCATCAAGTCATTATGGGTGACTGATGAAAAAGAAGGCTTCTCTCAGACTTCTTCCTCAATATTGACATTGAAGAGTTTCTATCTTTGGTGCTCTTTGGGATTGATTGATTCATGCTATGCAATTGCCTAGCCCAGTGTTGGCAAATCTTTTTGGCACCGACTGCAGAAACAGGAGCACGTGTGGTGGCGGGAAGCACTGGAAACCGGAAGAGCAGTTCCCTGGCGTGCATGTGCATGCTGGGAAGCAGAGTTTCCAGTTTCCGGCGCACATGTGCACGCCAGACACATGGTCTTCCAGTTTCTGGTGTGCATGCGCACACAAAGACCAGCTGGCCAGCACGCATGAGTGTGCTGGAAACTGGAAGCTCAGCTTCCCGGTGCGTACATGTGCACCCACCCGGAACCCAGAAGAGCAACGGGTGATGGCTGGTGTACTTGGAGAGATGGCTCTGTGTGCCACTTCCGGCACTCATGCCATAGGGCCTAGCCTGAAAGACTAAGATCACCAGATCACCAAAGGTACTGGCCAATGCCCTGTAGAAAGCAAATGACATCTCCTTTGCAACACTGATCAGAAATTTAGCCACCTAATAGAGAGATGTTTCTCATCTTCCTATGGCTCACACTTGTAGAGTATGCTAAGGAGAACTCCTTTCCAGATCTAACCAAAGATTTTGGTAAAGGGCATGTTTGGTGGGCATAGCGTGGCTTGGTAGGTGTGGCTTGGTGGTCATGGCAGGGGAAGGATACTGCAAAATCTCCATTTCCACCCCACTCCAGGGGAAGGATACTGCAAAATCCCCATTCCCACCTCATTCTGGGACCAGCCAATGGTGGTATTTGCCAGTTCAAAATTTCCTCTACCAGTTCTCTGAGCTACTCAAAATTTCCTATACAGAACATGTCAGAACCTGCTGGAATTCAACTCTGCTTTACTTCATAGTGAAGGTAATACTGCAGAATGTGGCAAAGTAGCCAGCTAAAGGCTATCAGCACACCACGAGAGAGCCCCAGAGTAGTCACTTCCATTGCTTAGATTGGAAGCACATGAGCCAGAAGACAGATTATTTTGGCCTCTCCTGACATTTGAAAAGAAAAAGACTGAGAGGAGTACCCAAACAGAAAAAAGTGAAGCACATAGTCAATTTGCTTTGTTCTTACAAGTGAGGGGACACTTTTTTTTTTTTTTTTAACATCTGAAAATAAGTTTCATGTGACATTTCATTGAAAGAAAGAACCTCTTCAGATCTTCATACATATTTTGCTTCCAGTTTCTTTCTAAAAAACAAAAATCCTACATCTACTGGGCTTTTTGCCTTTTAATCGCATTTAGGATGGCAGCCTGAGAATGAATTCAGAGAAAACAAACTATTGTAAAATCCTATCTGTGAATTGGCAATTTAAAGAACAATTACCATACTTTTTGGAGAATAAGCAGGGGTGAAATCCAGCAGGTTCTGACAGGTTCTGGAGAACCGGTAGCGGAAATTTTGAGCAATTCAGAGAACCTGTAGCAGAAATTTTGAGTAGTTTGGAGAATTGGCAAATACCACCTCTGGCTGGCCCCAGAGTGGGGTGGGAATGGAGATTTAGTAATATCCTTCCCCTGGAGTGAGGTGGGAATGGAGATTTTGCAGTATCCTTCCCCTGCCACGCCCACCAAGCCACACCACCAGAACCAGTAGTAAAAAAATTTGGATTTCACCACTGAGTATAAGACGCACTCACCCCCACCCCAAAAGAGGGTGGAAATGTTGGTGCGTCTTATAAAGCAAATACAGCCACTTTTTGGCCTCCCAAAACCCCATTTCAGTAAACAGATTAACAGAATTGGAAGGGACCTTGCAGGTCATCTAGTCCAACCAGTGGTGGGATTCAAGTAATTTAACAACCAGTTCTCTGCCCTAATGATTTCTTCCAACAACCAGTTTGCCAAATTGCTCAGAAAGTTAACAACCAGTTCTCCTGAAGTGGTGCGAACTGGCTGAATCCCACCACTGAGTCCAACCCCCTGCCCAAGCAGGAGATCCTACATCTGCCTCTACCTAGGATCGAACAGCAGTCTAATTTTCCTGACTAAAGTTTCAGAGTCTATAACTAAGAAAACACTCAAAGCAAAAAAAAGAAAAAGAAGAAGAAGAAGAAGAAGAAGAAGAAGAAGAAGAAGAAGAAGAAGAAGAAGAAGAAGAAGAAGAAGAAGAAGAAGAAGAAGAAGAAGAAGAGGAGGAGGAGGGAGAAGGGGAAGGGGAAGAAGAAGGGGAAGGGGAAGGGGAAGGGGAAAGGGAAGAGGAAGAGGAAGAAGCTTTTTTTTTTGGTAGCAATTTATGTTTTGTATCTAACGACAAACATGGGATGTGTAGGAATCTTTTTCTGTTCCTAGGAAATCAGCCTTCAAAAAGGAGTAACTTTAACACTGGCTTTTCCCAGAGAAGGAGCTGAGAAATACATTTGAATCCAGGATGTTTTTAATGCTGTTTAAAAGAAAGAAAATGCAACTAGTTAGACCTCACCTGGTTAAAACTTTTGGGCCACGTGATAGAATCTTTGGAAATGTTGAAGAATTTGTCTGGGGAAGCCATGGGATCTATCCTTCCAACCTGGATCCTAAAAAATGATCGGTTTGGGAATGTGATCCAGTTGTTAATATCAAATCCACCAATGAGCTCCCCATTTTTGTCAAATGAAATCTTCTCTCCAACACTGTTATTGAATGAAACTGTTCTTAGGAAAGGATGAAGCTAAATTGGAAAGAAGAAGGGAGGGAAGATAAAATATTTAGGAACTATTCATCGTTCTATTTCTGGTCAGAGTCCATTTTGTTCGGTCTTAGCCTGAGTTTCTTAAACAGAGGAACAGATGAAAACGTACATATACTGTATATTGGATTGCATTGTTCTGTAATGGAAGGCTTTGAAAGATGTTAGTAGTATACATTAAAAGTGTATGTTAACTATGTTAAAAATGTTTTTCCTCCCTTAATGAGGTTCAGCCTAATATTTCAGTATATGTTTCCAGCATTGTTGTTATTTTTCTGAGAAATGTAAGGAATATCGAGAATATGGAATAGGGAGAATATGGAATATGGAGAGCCAGCTTGGTCTAGTATTTAAGGTACTGGGCTAGAAAACAAGAAACCATGAATTCAAGTCCCATCTTAGCCATAAAAACCAACTGGGAGACCTTGAGACAATTCATTTTCTCTCAGCCCAACTCACTTCACAGGGTTACTGTTCTGGGGGGCGGGGAGAGAAAAGTGTGTTGGATATGTTCACTGCCTTGAGTTATTTGTAAAATAATAAAAGCAAAAAATAAATAAACAAATGATCTAAGGCCCAGTGCTCACTGTAACAGCATTGCCAAAAAGGCATTAAGAGTTGTTAACCTAATTTTGCGAAGCTTCTTCTCCAGTAACACTGTATTGCTAATTAGGGCATACAAAACCTTTGCCAGACCAATTCTTGAATACAGCTCATCCACCTGGAACCCACTTTGTATATCGGACATTAACACAATTGAGTGGGTTCAGAGGTATTTCTCGAGAAGAGTACTCTATTCCTCCACTCACAATAGAATTCTCTATGCCTCCAGGCTTGAAATTTTGGGCTTTGACAATCTGGAACTGCACTGCCTGCAGTCCGATCTAAGCATAGTACACATAATTGTCTGCTACAATATCTTGCCTGCAAATGACTTCTTCAGCTTCAACCACAATAATACACAGGCAAGCAATCGATATAAACTCAAGGTAAACCACTTCAAACTCGATTGCAGAAAATAAGACTACAGCAACAGAGTGGTCAACGCCTCGAATGCCCTACCCAACTCTGTTGTTACAGCCTCAAACCCTTAGAGCTTCAATCTCAAACTGTCTACCATGGACCTCACCCCATTCTTATGAGGTCCGTAAAGGGGGCGTGCATAAGCGCACCAGTCTGCCTACCGTCCCTGTCTTACTGTCCCCATTTATCTGTATTTACTTCCTTTGTTCATGTTTATGTTCATACCTATACTTGTTATCTTGTACATGTTTGACAAATAAATAAATAAATAAATAAATAAATAAATAAATAAATAAATAAAATTGGATATGAGGATATGAAAGACTGTAAGACGCTATCTCCAACAAGGACCATGAACAGCTCTAACACTGGAGCTGATTCAAAGGCAGAATTAATTTCCAAGGTTTTTATGTAACTATGTGCTTCTATTATTATGGGTTCATTGTCTCCTTCAGTGTCTGAGCCATAGCAACAAGATATTCCTTGTTTGGAGGGCACTGAATATGTTATAAATGCAAAGGATCCCTTCTGTTGTTTGCCTTGAACTTAGACCAAACCAATGGTCTAATCAACATAAGGAGACTGTGGTGTTAATAACACAATTGCTTCCTATGTCCTCTGTGGTCCTAAGATGGTGTAAGAATGGACTTGGTGGTAGACATGGACTTTAGATGTCCCAATTTCCTTTGGAGTGAGCCTTCTATGTGGCCTATCTGAACTTGCAGTTCTCCTGCATATTTCTCCTCTGCCCATTACCTGCCAGAATTGTTGGTTCTGAAGTTTTGGTCCTCTTCTGCCCACAAGATGGTTGTGTTTGAGTTTTGATGAATGCATTGACTCCAAAGCATGTGCTACAGCATAGACTGCATTGTATATATTATAACTGTGGCCAGTTGTGCTAAATTCAAACACAGAGGTTGGAAGGGTTGCCATTTTCTCCTTCCTTGTACAGATTGTGCCATATTTTTTATTTAGTTCAGAGCTGGGAAACAAGCACTGGAATGCATGCTCCCAGAAATTCCTTAGAAACCCATCGTCTTCTGCTGCTGTTGGATTTCTGAGTAGTAGAAATTCCTGGAAGCCTGGCACCTCTTTTGAGTGAACTGCAAAGGATAAAGCATTTTGGAGGAAATTGACATCCCAATCCCTTTGAACAGATACGGATGTGAAATCCATTTCAGCATTCATGATCCAGACCTTTGTATTGACCGATATATTCTCCACTTCTGCATACTGCACTGATATTTTCAAAAAAGTCATGGATTGCATCGTGCCGTATAAGACAATCACCTTGGCTGTGCTTTTTGCAATGGTAGAGTAGGTTCTGTATGCTTCATCCATCACATTTGTAAAGTCACTGTAAAAAGCTACACTGGGGAACTCTCCTATGAAATCAAAGCAGATGCCCTTCTGAGAAAACGCGGGGAGCACCTCCTGTACAAATTTCTCCCCTTGGTCATCATTCACAAGAACTCCGACCCAGATCCATCTAAAGTAGAGCAATAGCTGGAGGAGGCCCTTATGTTGGTGGGATTCATTTGGAAACATTTGTTGGAAGAAAACTGCTTGAGTCTCTTTATCCATGACTGGAGCAGAGCCATAGGTCAGCTAAGAAAAATGATAGGGAAGAATGAGGGATGCGTAAGACTGATTTCCTGAACGTCATCACTCTGCTAAACAAATAATTCCCTCAACACTGTCAAACTATTCACTAAGTCTGCATTACTATCATCATTCCTATCACCCATCTCCTCCCACTTATGACTGCATGACTATCAATTTGTTGATTGTATCCTTATGATTTATATTGATATTGTTTCCTCATTGCTTATATGACTATCACTAAGTGTTGTACCTTATGATTCTTGACAAATGTATCTTGTCTTTTTATGTACACTGAGAGCATATGCACCAAAGACAAATTCCTTGTGTGTCCAATCACACTTGGCCAATAAAGAATTCTATTCTATTCTATTTTATTCTATTCTATTCTATTCTATTCTGTTCTGTTCTGTTCTGTTCTGTTCTGTTCTGTTCTGTTCTGTTCTATTCTATTCTATTCTATTCTATTCTATTCTATTCTATTCTATTCTATTTCTTCCTGAATAATAGTAATTGCTCCCTTCCCCCACCTTTGGAATAGTGTTCATACTGGTGACTGCCTGGACAAATTCCTTCAGTTTTCTTAGCAAGATATCACAAGTGGTTTGCTATTTCCTACTTCCTTGAGCAGGGCAAGAGTAACTGGTTCGAGATCACTCAATTGGCTTTATGCTTAAGGTGGGACTAAAATTTGCATCTCCCAGTTTCAAGCCCAGTGTCTTAATCGCTACATCAAACTGGCTTTTTAAATGGTGTTATCCTTTCTAAATTATAATTTTATCTTTCAAATAGCAAATGGGATGTATCATGAATATACTCATGCATGCCTATGATGATTTTGAACAAATTGGGCTATTTCCATTTTTTCCATGTGGACACGAGAGCATTATGAATGTATTGCTGTAGAAAACATCTGCCCTTAGGAGGAAATTGACTTGAACTGCTATATGTTTTTAATGGATGTTTCAATGCACAGTCCTGGTATTACAAGTACAACAATGCTTTTGCATTGTTAAGAAGCTCTCATTAAAACTTTTCTCCAAAGAACATAAGAAGTTTAAGAATGTGGTGGGAGTTCAAAGGCTTAAGATTCTATACAATAGAATCTAGATCGAGATTGGACACCCTATGCCACCTAAATGTTAATCATGAGATTTGTGATGATGTTTTTCGGTTGATGTTCCACTGAACATTACTTTTAGTGCATGGTTCCAAAATTTTGAATGACCAAAACTTTTGGTAATTGTATGCAAAAGGATAACTCTTAATATATAGGAATATTGCCACCTAACATAAAAAAGGTCATCAAAAAAGCACAACAAAGAATGTTCTTTCTGCGCCAACTCAGAAAACTCAAACTGCCCAAGGAACTGCTGATACAGTTCTACAAAGGAATTATTGAGTCTGTCATCTGCACCTCTATAACTGTCTGGTTTGGTTCTGCAATCCAACAAGACAGACACAGACTTCAGAGGATAATTAGAACTGCAGAAAAAACAATTGCTACCAATCTGCCTTCCATTGAGGACCTGTATACTACACGAATCAAAAAGAGGGCTGTGAAAATATTTACAGACCCTTCACATCCTGGACATAAACTGTTTCAACTCCTACCCTCAAAACAACACTATAGAGCACTGCACCCCAGAACAACTAGACACAAGAACAGGTTTTTCCTGAACATCATCACTCTGCTAAACAAATAATTCCCTCAATACTGTCAAACTAGTTACTAAGTCTGCATTACTATTAATCTTCTCATCGTTCTTATCACCCATCTCCTCCCACTTATGACAGTATGACTGTAATCTTATTGCTGGTATCCTTAAGATTTATATTGACTGTTTTCTAATAGGATTTGATTGCTTATTTGTTCCCTATGACTATCATTAAGTGTTTTACCTTATGATTATTGACAAATGTATCTTTTCTTTTATGTACACTGAGAGCATATGCACCAAGATAAATTCCTTGTGTATCCAATCACACTTGGCCAATAAAGAATTCTATTCTATTCTGTACATAACAACCTGCTGTGTGATTTCACAAAGTTTCTTCTCCTTGCCAAATGTGCACGCTGATTATTTAATCAATAAAAAAAAATCAAAACCTGAATTAAAGCCTTTTCCTTAAAAAAATGGGTATCTCTTAGCTTTAGAGGAAAGTTATTACTTCAGGCAAGTGCTTGAAGTAATGAGTGAGTCTTCACAAATTGAGTTGAGACTAAAATGATGGATTGTTTGTGATCCAGAAACAGATTTTTGAAATGAAGCTATTACATGGATGAAGCTTAAAACAAAGACCAGGCAATGCCCATACCTGTAAATGAAAGCAAACTGCAGGTCGGTTTCACAAACTGGAAACTTTGTGTATAAGTGAATTCAAGAATTTTCTCTCCCAGCATAATGTTAGTTGCATGTTTTAATCATACCCTTTCTCAACCCTCAGCCACAAACTGCATCCAAACAACCACAAGAACAGTAAATGGCTTGCTTGGTTCATATTGTGTCATCAACACACTTTACCTGTGAAACTTTATAGATGTCCAGTATGGTTGCCATGTGGAGACAGATATCAGGTGCTCCAATGACTGCAGTTGGATTGTTTTGAATGTCACACTTAAAATTAGGGCCGAATCTATTCTGAGCAAAGAGAAGCTCCATTGAGGCAAGGTAGGTCCAGCTTGGACTGAAGTAGCTATTATAGATGTTGAATCCCATGGTGACATTGGGTAAAATCTGAGGATTTTCATTGATTTCTTTTATAGCAAAAACTAAGGCCAGAATGTGTTGGTAACTCTGAAACAATACCCTGCAATGAAAACTGCATGCTGTTTTAAAAGTAAATGGTTCCAAAAGTATTAACTATATTTATGCTGAAATCACTTTAATGCTAAGCATTTCATCAATTGTATTTCTAAAAAATCACGGTTTGATTAAGTAAATGCAAAAAAACTCTTGTTTGGATATTTCTGAACAATTAAGCATTGGCTTTAAGTAAATATAATTTGCATAATTAATTTTGTGTGTATGCAGAATTCGCAGTATCACAAACCAGCTTCATAATAGTGGATGGAAACTAAGGGTTAAAGAATGATACTTCTGGTACCGATAATGCAAAAAAGAAGAAGTTGTAGCTAATTTTAGCTAATGTTAAACTAATTTAAGTCAAACATAATTTAGGCGCTTGTTCTATCCCTTCTCCTTAGTGGTTATGCTATAGTGGTTATTGTTATCAAAGTATTTTGGTATCATTCATATATTCAGTCGAAGAATGCCAGTATTGACAGAAAGTTTCCACATCTCTATGTTAATGTTAAAGAGTTGTTCTGTAAGAAAGATGGGTGATTTCCAAGTGTGAAATATGTATAAAAATTTATTTTTAAAAATCGATTAAACAGATTACTGGGGTTTGATAGCTATAGTAGAGATTATCTTGAGAAATTTAATTTAATTCAACACTGGGGTAAAAATGCAAGACTTACGCAAAGTCATCAAGAATTTCCAGAGAAGGATGTTGAATGAAAGCAACAGGATTGGAAAAGACATAGACTTGAGAAATAATGCCAGCAATTCTGAGATCTCCAGACTGAACATATTTATGAAGAATAGGGAGAGGTTTACTAACATTGCAATTACGATTATGGACTTTACACACCACCCAGGCATTGATGCTAATAAGGAAACAATAAATGCCACCATATTGCCTGAAAGTTTTCCTTCTGTATATACATGGACCTGTTTTCACTTTGGCAAATGCATATTTCCAAATCATAGATCCTGCCATGATTCCCTCAATTGTTCCCAAGACCAAACTGGACAATACAATATGTTAGTGATCCAACGGACAAACTCTTGTCTGCCTGCAGCCCAGCACTGAATGTTTAGGAAGAATTAATAGCATTCTTCATCTTTCTGTTTTCCACATTGATATTTTCAAGGTTTTGGAAAAGAAGTGGAGATAATGATGTCTAATTGGATAATTATAACATAGAATAGATAATCACATACTCATGGTTATTCATTCCATCTCATTTTAAAGAAGAAACAGTATAGATGTTTTATGTGATATAGATCAGGGAAAGATAAAATCCACAGTATTGGGTCTATTAAAAGTCAAACCACACACACATACCCTCTCTCTCACACACACAGAACAATGCTTTTCACTGGTTGTTACAGCTCACCAACACATTATTAATAACCTATATCCAATATAATACAAATACAAGGACACTGTTTTTTCTCAGGCACTAGGTGCCAGACCCATAATTGCATAGAAACAACAACCCAGTCTGAAACCAATTTTCACAAGCAAGAAGAAACAACATAACAATGTTGCTGACATGGGAGCCAGAGCCTGCAACAAACCAGAGTATGTCTACTTTGCCCCCACATTTGCACCAAGAGGCCCATCGCAGGCCTCAAAAATTCATATATAACATTAGAGGTGACTTGATGCTTGTCCTCTAATGTGATATGTTCAGTGGTGTATTGTAAAATTTGTTACTACTGGTTCTGTGGGTGTGGCTTGGTGTGTGTGTGTCTGTGGGGGGGTAATTTGACTGGGTGGGTGTGGCCAACTTTTTTTCTTTTTACTTTTAAAAGCATCCCAGCTGAGCCATGCGATCATCAGAGGCTTTTTTTTTTTTTTTACTTTTAAAAGCATTTTTTCCGCCAAAGAAAAAATGCTTTAAAAGTAAAAAAAAAAAAAAAAAAAGCCTCTGATGATTGCACGGCTCAGCTGGGCATGGTGGGGGCAGGGATTTTTGCTACCGGTTCTCCGAACCACCTGCCGCCATCACTACCGGATTGGGAGATCCGGTCTGAACCAGGAGCATTTCAACCCTGGATATATTCCACCATTAGCCAGCAATGCCCCTCTGCTTTCTACATAGGATAAACAGATCAAGCTTTGTGAAAGAGAATTCATGGACAAATGTTTAA